CAGCTTTCCTGTCCCCTCCTGCCTTCTAGTCCTTGCCCCGGGCTGGTGTGCCCCTTTAGTCTCATTTTGTTTCATGGTCTTGTCTAATCTTTGGCTGAAGGGTGAACCTCAGGAGTGACTTAAGTACTGAGCTAAAAGGGTGTCCGGGGGCCATATCCTCGAGGTTTCTCCAGTTTCTGTCAGGCCAGTAAGTCTGGTCTTTTTTTGTGAGTTAGAATTTTGTTCTAAATTTTTATCCAGCTCTATCTGGGACCTTCTATTGTGATCCTTGTGAGAGCAGTCAATGGTGGTAGCTGGGCACCATCTAGTTAATCTGGTCTTTTTTATGAATTTGAATTTTGTTCTACATTTTTCTCTCACTTTGGTCAGGACTTCCTATTGTGATCCTGGTCAGAGTGGTTGGTAGTGGTAGCCGGGAGTCATCTAATTCTCCTGGTTGCAGACTAGTGGAGACTGTGAATCATGTGGTCTGTTAGTCCTTTGGACTAATTGTTTCCTTGAGTCTTTGGTTTTCTTCATTCTTTGGTCTGGAAAGGAAGTGATCAACAGTTGTATCTTAGATGGCTGCTCACAAGCTTTTAAGACCCCAGTTGGTACTCACCAAGAACATTGTCTTTATGGACTGTTATGCCACTTGACTTAGATGTCCCCTAAGAATATGGTCCTAAACACTGAAGTCCAATGCTTCAATCCCAGAAGGAGTTGGGTTATGGCTAAGAAGTTTTCATGGGTGTGCCCCTTGTGTGCTCTATTATATACATGTACAAATTTGCAGTATTTAAAAATATGTATGTAGAAATGTCCACTGCGAAACCTGTACATGCTTGTGGGTGTACTCCCATGAACCATCCCACACCTGTTCAGCTTACCTATCTGCCTATGTGTCTAGTCATAAATTATTGTCTGTTATTACTGTTGCAGGATCCAATATGTAAAGCAATTACCATTGTTACCTATTACTCTTGCATACCTCTCAGTGTATTCCTTTGACTTGGTCATGTTGTACTGACTTCCCCCATATTGTGTATTGTCTTTTTCTTCACCAAAATTAAATATGTATCTACTATTTAGTTAGTGATTTTCCCTCTTTCCTCCTCCCATCCTCAGTAACCATCAAAGAATATTTCTTTCTGTGTGTAAACGTTTTTCTTGACTATTTATAATAGTGGTCTCATACAATATTTGTCCTTTTGTGATTGACTTATTTCACTCGGCATAATAACCTCCAGGTTGATCCATGTTGTAAGATGTTCGTCAATGTATTATACTTTTCAGTGTACAATATTTGTCATATTTTCCCTGTAAGTGTTCCATAATTTTTGACACTATTGTAATAATATTTATTTAAAAAATTTTCTTTCCAATTATTCCTTGCTTGTATAAAGAAATAAAATTGATATTTTAATATTGATCTTATATCCTGCAATCTTGTTGCTGTTCTTAGGAGCCGATGAGTTGGTTCTGCCTCATAGCGACTCTGTACAACAGAATGAAACACGGCCCGATCCTGTACCATCCTCACAATTGTTATGCTTGAGCCCATTGTTGCAGCCACTGTGTCAGTCCATCTCATTGAGGGTCTTCCACTTTTTTGCTGTCCCTCTACTTTACTAAGCATGATGTCCTTTTCCAGGGACGGATCCCTCCTAATAACATGTCCAAACTATGTGAGATGAAATCTCGACATCCTTGCTTCTAAGGAGCATTCTGGCTGTACTTCTTCCAAGACAGATATGTTCATGCTTCTGGCAGTCCATGGTATATTCAGTATTCTTCCCCAACACCATAATTCAAAGGCATTAACTCTTTTTTGGTCTATCTCATTCATTACCCAGCTTTTGCATGAATAAGAGGCGATTGAAAATATCATGGCTTGGGTCAGGCCCACCTCAGTCCCTAAAGTGACATCTTGGCTTTTTAACACTTTAAAGAGATCTTTTGCAGCAGATTTGCCCAAAGCAATGCATCATTTGATTTCTTGGCTGCTGCTTCCATGGGTGTTGAATGTGGATCCAAATAAAATGAAATCCTTGACAACCTCAATATTTTCTCCGTTTATCATGATGTTGCTTATTGGTCCAACTGGGAAGATTTTTGTTATCTTTATGTTGAAGTGTAATCCATACTGAAGGCCATAGTCTTTAATCTTCATCAGTAAGTGCTTCAAGTCCTCTTCACTTTCAGCAAGAAAGGTTGTATCATCCACATATCACAGGCTGTTAATCGGTCTTCCTCTGTCATGGATTAAATTATGTCCCTCAAAAAATGTGTATATCAATTTGTCTGGGCCATG